AAATGAACATTGTAAAAAATCATGCAGCTGTATAATTTGTAAGATTGCCTCTGAAATGAATTTCTTCCCTGGAGTAAAACTTATTTTGAATAATTTTTGTGCGTATTTTGGGAATATATCGTAGGTGAATGTGCAAAACTTCGTATGAGAAAAATTAAAAATTTTCCAGGAGAGGGTTAAAACGTTCTAGTTTTGTTAATTTTTAAAAAAATCTAATTTGCTTTATTTTTCATGTTCAATTAGTAATTGTACAACTAATTAAAGATATCTAAAGCTTTTTTTTTAAGAGTTTTATATTCTCTTATGAGGTTTTGCTTTTGTAAAAATGACATACAATTCGTATACGAGATTTTGAACATTCTTTTTGAGATGTTTTGGCTGCTAATAAATTTCAAAATATAACAACAGTTCAAAAAAAATTTTTAATTATTATACTACAATGTTAAAAAAATATATTAAAACAAGGAACAAACGATAACTATTATTAAAGTTAGCAAACTACTAAATAAACTACACTAATGAGTAAGGTTATCATAATAAGACCAATAAAGTCCATTTCTTTTTTAAAATTTGAAGATGGTTGTACTTTTCTTTTTAATTTTAAGTGGGGAATCATACTTTGGTACTATTTCAGCACTAGAATTTAAAAGTAGCCTTTGTAAGTATTGCTGCTATTCATCTGAATAATTTATTTTGTAGAACAATTCTCCGGCTGGGATATACTAACAGTGAATATCGGAAACAGTCGGATCGCCAATTTTGTACCCAGGGCGAATATTTGAGTAATATTTTAGTGCACTGAAATTTAAGAAATCGGTATAGGATATATATTTACCTAAACAGGCTTTGTTGGACAGGCATCTTTACAAACATGAACATAATCGGTCGGCAAGAAAATATCTTCCTTTTTAAGCCTACGCTTAATTAAGCTATGTGCACTGTCGACCTCCTACGTGTGGTCTTTCTCTAGGAAGCTTTGCATAATGGTGGTATCCATATCCATACAGAGTTTCAACAACGCATTTTAAAGAGTAACGTTCCTGTTTTGATAACCGCAGCCATCACTTAATATAATAACATTGGAAAGTTGCGGGTAATCTTTCTTGTAAATGTGTAAGAATTTGTAGATAATGGTGGTAATATTAGTGGCAGCTAGTGATGCCTATGTTCCATCCCATAGGTCATAAATAGTGTAATTATGAATGGCTGTAATATATTGCAGAACAACGTAAAACTAGAGCCAACTTATTGCTTCCATATCTGCAGTAGTAACTAAAACAGTATCAGGGTTTTCAATTGCTGATATATTGTCCTTCTTCTTTTAGTCCCTTGCCTCAGATTTTTATTTGAGGTGACCTTAATACCCATCTTCAGCAATATGACCATGGTGATATGACATACAGAGGTCACTCTGGTCCTTCCTTGGACGAAATAAAGACAAATTTTCTGGCTCGAACTCTTTAACAAAAACATGTCGTGAAATGAACGTACCATTTTTTCGTCGGCGTACTTTATATATTGCCTATAAACATTATTTTAAGTTTGATACAGAGGTTCAAGTTAAAGTTTAGTTGAAGAAGCTCAACAATAGTGGCTGAATAATTTTAGCAATTCTCTAAAAAATCTAGTCAAGGTTTTTTGGTTTCACGTTGCGTAATATTTTGCCTTACTCGAGAAGAAGATAAAATGGGATTTTCTTTTTGGTGCATTCCTGAATTTTTCTCAGCTTTAAGAGTCCATTCCCTTCCCCACCATTTATTAAGACCTAGTGTAGATATAAACATCTTCTCACAAACCAAAAATTTAGTACAGTCCTTCTGTAGGTAACATTAAAATATGCAAAAACGTCTCGTACCTTCGACTCTTTTTTACTATCAACTACATCGACTAATGTAGAAACAACTGATTTTCTTAAACCTTAGAAGGTCATCTTTTTCCAAAATGTATGCTACACAGTATGTAATCTACTTCTTTACAGAAAGTTGGTGTAACAGTACCATAAATAATGCTGAGCTATTTGATCTTGCAGTGTTTGATGTTTATAGGATTGATCGAGATTACGAGTTAACACAAACTTCAAGGGTGGAGGAGTTCTTTGTGCCCTTAAAAAAGAATTAAATGCAGTTCTGATTGATACATCTGATGTTTGTAGCTCTATTCCAGTAAACAAAATTAATTTTATTCTTGTAAAAATTAAACCCCACTATCAGTTTACCTTTATTTTACTCATATACATACCGCCAGCTTGTTCTGCTGATGACTATGAGGCTGTGTTCGAGGCGATATCATTACTAAATATTCTTTATCATAATCATCTTCTAGTACTAGAAGATTTCAATGTGCCTGAGTATATTTCTCAAATAAACAATTCTAGCTACTCGCCTAGATTAAACGTCGTACAATCATTTGCGAATTTTTTTAACTTAAATCAATTTCTTTTGATAGAAAATGCATATCATCGTCTGTTTGACTTAGTTTTTTCCAATTCAGCATGTCACGTATATAAAGCCGATGAAGTAATCTTAGATGAAGATGATTATAACCCCTCTTTGTGTATTAATGTCCCTATTAAAATTAGAGTTAAGAGCTTACAGTGTAAACCAGACCAGCAGATTTTCCAAAATTATACAACGCACTACTCAATATTAATTGGAATTTGCTTGATTCTGCAAACAGCGTTGATGAAAGTGTTCAACTTTTGAACAATAAATTGTTTATTATTTTTAATAAGCATATACCTGCTAAAAAACCAAACCTTAGAATCTACTCTCCTTGGTTTAATGGTCATATAATACGCATGATTCATTAAAGAGAAAAAGCCCGAAAAACCTACAAATCCGCTTATTCCATAGATGCATTTACTAAATTTAGGAACCTTCGAGACCAAATTAAACAAGACATTTCCATAGCTCACTCCTCATATTTAAGATCAATTGAAAATAATATTAAAAATGATCCAAAACAATTCTGGTCATAAATAAATTCTAAAAATTCTTCCTATTCCATTCCCCCTACTGTTAAATATAATAATGACTGTATAGAAGATTCACAGGCAATTGTTCAAGCTTTTGCAGATCACTTTTCAAGCAATTTCTCCAAGCCAACTCAAATAAATCATTTCATCCACGAATCTACCATTAATTTACCTTTGCTTCACTTTAATTCTTTATCTCAAGATGAAGTTATTAGAGCCCTAAAAAAGCTTAAGCCCAATATGTCAATGGGTACTGACCTTATTCCTTCGTTTCTTGTCAGAGACTGTGCAATAATTTTGGCCACTCCGTTGAAACATATTTTTGATTTAATTTTGAAAACATGTATTTTCCCTACTGCCTGGAAAATTTTCAGAATTACTCCGGTACAAGGTAGCAAAAATAATGTTTGTAATTATCGGCCCATAAGCATTCTTTGCAATTTTGCTAAAGTATTCGAAATAATTACCCACGATCGTATTTCCAATCATGTTTCCCGTCTTATGTCTTGTCACCAACATGGATTCATGAAAAATAGATATACAGTTACAAGCTTTGTATGTTCGACGCAATTTATTTCGGAAGCCTTGGATAGAAGAAGTCAAGTTGATGTAATATACACAGATTTCTCCATCTTGCAACAAAAGTTAAGTTCCATTGGTTTATGCGATCAAATCATTCAATTGATTGGTTCGTATTTGTTGCGTAGACATCAATATGTTCAATATCGTGGTTACAGGTAAAAAAATTTCAAAAAAACATCAAGAGTTCTGCAGGGATCAATTTTAGGTCCTCTTTTATTTAAAATTTTTATTAATGATATAGTCGCTAATATCGAACATATTAAAGTTTTAATGTATGCAGACGACCTAAAATTATTGCTTAAAATCAATTCTGTTAACCATTGCTTGCGACTTCAAAAGTGTTTATCCGACATTGAGTAGTGGTGTCCCGATAATTCACTCCATCCAAATCCTGTCCTTTACTAAAAAAGTAACACCTATAATTTTTGATTATAAACTACAGAACATTGTTCTAAATCGACCCGAATGTATAAGAGATCTCGGAGTTTATTTTGATCCTGAACGTTAAATACATTGAAACGATGTTATCTGCTTCTAACAAGAGCTTAGGGTTTGTTTTTCAAAGCTGTAAAGAATTCCGAGACATATTCACCTTAAAAATTCTATATATTAGCTTTGTACGGTCAAAACTTGAATAGTGCATTGTTGTTTGGAATCCCGTGCATAACATTTATACTAACTTACTCGAAAAAGTTCAAAGAAAATTCATGAAATCGGCTTCCTACATTTTAGACGGTATATGCCCTACAAGGAGATTTTCCCACGCTTTACTAATATCTAGATTCAATCTTTCAGAGCTCGTGATACGCAGAAATTTTTAACAGGTACTCCTACTTTATAATCTTTTAAATGGCTCAGTCGAGTATTGATTTGTTAAATTACGTTAATCTAAAAATTCCCCACCAATCTATTCAAAAATATCATGAAATTCAAGACAGCTTGGACATTTTTGCATGTAAAAAATATATGAATAAAAATGTGTTTTCTTTAACAATGTAAAAAAAAGATGTAAAGCATGTAATGCAATGTAGACAAACACTTTTTTTTAATCCTGTGTTCGGTCAGTTTTTTTTTCTGGATGTTTATATTGTATTGTATAGCTATTTAACAATTTTGTATTTGTATTTATATTCTAATGTTTTGTCTTTCCCACCCAGTAAATGGTGATTACTGTTGGGTGGTGTAACAAATAAATAAATAAATAAAAATATCTTGTCTGACCTCTTCACTAAAATTAGCACATTGTCGTCCAGTTTTTTTACATTTCTCAGAGGTGCAATGTACACCTAGTTTTCTTTTTTAACCAACTTTGACATATTTGTATTGCACATAAATCTTCTTTATACCTTCTTACTCTACTCCTTCTAAACGCTTTTTTTCTCGACTGTACGTTTTCTTCGTACATCAGTTAAACGAGTTTTGTTTTAATTTCAATTATTGTTACCTGGCATCAATTTTAACACTACCTTCTGCAATATTTGTAATGGACTCTGCAAGTTTAACTGATTCTGCATCATCTAAGGTAAAAACATTGTCATTGCTTTTGTTACCTTTACAATGCATATTTTGACTATTTTGAACGAAAGTGTTTGGTGCTAAAGATGTAGCCAGTTTCAAAATAAGTTTGCTTCTTTTTAAAGCCATATTTGTAAGTAAAAAAATACTAAAATTATCGTTTCGGTAAACTACTACTATATCATTTTTAGCACCTATTTCAGTAACAACATAACTAAAAAAATCGTTTAGCATTGTCCTATTTTAATTTCATTTGTCAATTGTAATTAATTTAATGGCAAAATAATTTTTATTAAAAACTATTTTTTTGAATGAAACAGTTTGTTAAAAACCTCCTATTTATTAAAAAAAAATCAATCAAATTAAACCATATCTATTTGTAACCTTATATTAGGAGTTAAAAACCACGTAAGAGGGATCCCAGGGTTGTTTAAAGCTTCGTATTAGAAAATTGATTTAAAACATAATTTATTATTATTAAAAACGATAACAATTTGTTTGCATTATAAATCTGTATTTAAAACATTACTTATCACCTCAAAAAGTATCTAGTACTATCACTTTATCAATTTAACATGTAAATGAATGATTATTTGTCTTTTAACCCAAGCGGTACATTTGTTTTGATGGTTGTAGGAGTACTTGGAACATTTATCAAAAATATTGTATATTTTTTTTATATAAGTATGCACATAGTCCAATTAAATAATGAAAAAAAGCCCCTTCGAGCTTACATTAATTTGTAATTGGATGAAACAAAAAGGACCTTGTTCCATTGTAAAAATGCTAATTATCTGGGCAAGTATTATTCCGATAGTTAAAATAAATGCACCATTCGAAAGAGGAGGCAAAAATAGTTCGGAAATTCATTGCACAGGTAGTTTTAATGGCGAATTTCTCGCCGCCAGAAGTGCTTTTACCAAAAAGTCGTTTTTTTCGTTTCTTTGATCAGAACCATGGACATGAAATTTGCGATGAATTTGTGACGAAATTATAAATGTTAGACATATGTGCCCATGAGAGAAGTTGCGTATTTTTTTGTTGGCTCTCAAATAAAATAAGTCCCGCGGCGAAATCTGACATAATTTTTCGGGAATTCGCTGGAAACCAGAGGCGTAGTTTTTTTTTAAATTTTTTCCCATATGATTTTTTCCGGGTTTTCCGAAAACATCTAACAAAAAAAATATATTTAAAAAAACTTACTTCGCCATCGAAAAGAGCACAAAAAAATACACAAATAGGTATACTTTAAAAATGTTAGGAAATTAATCCTAAGCCTGAGTGTAAGTTCCAACTTGGTGATAAGCTTGCTTTTTGTTCGCTAATATCTGGTAATTCTATATTTTGCACAAAACTCGAGAAACGTCTTATATCAAGTCAGTAAAATACAATTTAATAAATTTTAAGCCTAATAAGTTTAGATATGTAAGAAATTTAAAACTGGAAAACGCAAAAAAATCAAATTACAGTAATGTAGTGTATACACGTGTTTTGGATCCCGCGGAGCGCGTATAATGAGACTTTTGTCGGGAGAATTCTACAACTCAGAAGAAACATACACACTTTAAACTTTGTATACACATTTAGAAGACATGAAATTTGGGTTTGATTAATTTTCAGACAAAAAAACTAAAAATTGTCAATTTTAGGCAACTTTTCTCAAAAACCGTGTTTTTTTTGGTGGTCACTCAATGAACAGTGGTCAAAAAATTAGATAAAATATATTTGCAGAATTTTCCGTAATGTAATCGTATTCTAGACACAATAGAGTACTCAAAAAAAAAGTTTTTAGCCATTGGGTGCATTTTTGGCATTTTTGTGCCACTTCAAACTTTCGAAAAAAAAATTTTATTTAAGGAAAAAAAAATTATTTAATTGTTTGATATCTTCGCCACTTATGGTCCGATGTTAATGAAATTCACACACACATAAGATTTCACATTTAAGAGTAAGCTTTGTAAGTGGCATTAAAAAAATTTAAATAGTTTGGCCGTTATAGGCAAACAATGAAATTAGGACCGCGGTGCATTTTGCCCTTCCGCTATATGCCCAATTTTGGGAGTTCTCTTGCCCCCTTCTGGGAATCACTAGTCACATCCCTTGTATTCAAAACGCATTTTTGTTTTTTCAAATATCTTAATTTTTAACAATGTTATAAAGAATATAGTGTTTGAACATTTAACAAATTCAATTTTTCGACCTTCGTCGCCTCAAAATACTAAACAAATTTCAATCGTCCATACCGCGAGAACGGTGCATCGGATCAAAATTTCTCAAGAGACATAAAAATTAGCATTTTTCCTAAGCTTTTCAATGTCGTAAACTGTGTTTTAAAAATATTGATTTAATTCCGACATGCGCCTGGGCAAAATTGAAAAATTGACAAAATCCAAAATTTCTTGCCTTTTTTCGAAAAGGTCACCTCAAAATACATAGAATCCATTTTGTTTCATCTAATTACAATTTAATGTAAGCTCAAAACCCGTAATTTAATTCGATTAACAAGCATCTCCTGTACTTGCTGTCATGTATGATTTTATTGAGATATTGGGAAGTTAAAATATCTTTAATGGTTTCAGAAAAGGCTATCGACGAACGAAGTCCAATAATAATTATTATTATTGTTATGTCATCGAGTTGTCTGAATTTTTTTAATAATAAGTGTACAGTACCAGTCTTGTATTATCTCTGTGGTACATGAATTACTACAATTGCCAAACAAATTTCTTTCGATACAAACCATTATCTGTCAGTTACAATCGTTATCTTTTGGTTATTATCATACTTTTTAATTATTTCTTTCTAAATATATTTTTATGGTACGCTCATATATCGATCATTTTTTGAAATTACAACTAACAGCCCCAATCTTTCATATTCATCTATTTTTATTATTATTATTTTACTTTTTTTTCCAGAAAAACATTGTTCAATAAGTATAATGAAATGATGATTATTTAATGTCTTTCCCGTAAAAAATAACGGGAGTGACAGTAATCAACATGGACAAATCATTACTGGAGTATTGGTTTCCTGCATGTTTTCGCTGGATAAATGTGGTGTAAGCCGTACCGGAAATGTGTGTGATGTAGGATTGAGAATAACCAGAGCGGAAGTAAAATACGTTAAAGCTTTGGCATCTGCCGACATGTATTATAACTGAAATATTCGGATAGGTATTTGATCGTATTCCCCTTGGCTCTGATTATTTAAGCCGTCTCACTCAATTTGTATATGCATCCAAAAATTACATTGAAAATATTTTGTGTGAATACGGTGTATGCTACATCAAAATTTAATTTAAAAATGTGTATAGAGTGTTTCTTACATACAGGGTATTCAGAAACGCTTTTCAAAGAATGAAACCACGAAATCTAGAGCTGATTTTATGACGATTTAACCTTAATTACTTTAATCCAAAAATGCTTCCTAAGGGAGCTAGAGCTCTTTGGAGATAGTGCTCTAAAATCGGTTTAAATGAAATACCTCCAAAACAAATTTTTATTAAATTATATTATTCTGTACATTTATTTATTTGAATTTAACTCATCAAATTTCGTAAATAAGATTTTTTTAATATAGTCATAAGCAGCTCGTTTGGGTGGGTTATTGGATATTTTTATTCAATTTCTTTGTTTTTCGAAAATTCGCTATTTTGAAATAAAATTTGAAAAATCTCATTATTTTCACACAAAACTGGCGCTCTTATGTAAAGTCTCCATAATCAACTCTTTTCGAAAAAAATCGACTTTAACTTTACAAACGTTTCCATTGATTAACAAGTAAATTTAGAAATTATAAGGTGACCATGGAAAATAAACAAAATACCTAAGAATTGTATCAATACATAATAAACTATTTTTACCCAAACTTTAGGTAGGTTTTTAAAAAAATGTGTTCAATTAATGACTGCTTTTCTGAAGTAAAAAAATAAAGTATATTATTAAATATATTAAATATATTAAAGTTTCTGTTGATACAATTTGTTTAAAAAAAAATAATAACGAAATGATAAATGAAAGTAATAAACACAAAATTAAATCTAAAGCAGATGCTTCACACGACGGCCATCCGTTTCTATGCACAAATTCATTCGCTTCCGTAAAGATCACCGAATTCTTGCAAAATTCCCATATTTCTAAATTCGTTGCAAGCATTCTAAATTCGTCTCCAAAGGTGATTCTGTGATTCAATTGGTAGCGAGTGAACAATTGTAAGGTGAAGGGGGGAGAAAAAGTCCTTTATATCTCACAAGGAAAGTCAATGTTTAATTATTCAACAAAACATTGAGTGCGACCGGTTTCGAAGTATCATCACTTCATCTACAGGCTCGCCTAGTGGAAAGGAGAATATGTGGTGTAAGGTGTGTTGACTTTGAGCCCACAATATATAAAATAGTAAAAAATAGAAAAACTCACCATACTCTCCATCCACTAGGGAATACTACAGACAAGTTTCATCAAAACGTGGGGGATGAAATAAATTGTAAAACAAAACAATGTTACAAGTTATAAAAAGTTAAAAATATTTGAAAAACAAATATTAGTCGATATAAACAGTTAAAAATTTTAAAATATTTAAGACTATACAAAAAAAAATCTATACAAACATATCTAGATGATATGTTGATGATATTTTGATTTTGTGGTCAGGTAACTTAGACTCATTAAATGACTTCTTGACTTATATTAATGACTTACATTCTAATATTAAATTCACATTAGAAATTGAAATAAACAAATCTATTAAGTTCTTAGATCTTATAATCTCACACAATAATAACAAGTTCAACTTTGACATCTATAGAAAGCCAACACATACAGGCACAGTTATAGACAATACCTCTAACCATCCAGCAACACATAAATTGGCTGCCTTTAATTGCTACTTAGAGAGGCTATTAAACATTCCTCGGTCTACGGAAAACTTTAATAAGGAACTAAATATAATTAAAACTATTGTTACAGATCACAACTTTGAACTGGATATTATTGATAAAATGCTAACACATAAACAAAATAAAATTCAACAAAACTTGGTTTATATTAATAATCCTAATTTGGTACATAAACTAACCACCAGTAAGAAATACATTTCTCTTACCTTTATTGGAAAAGCATCCTATAAAG